ATTTAGATGATAGACAAAGCCCTTGGGGGTGAGAGGAAGAGTAAATAACTTGCCTCAAATGGAGCCACAAGGACAAATTAATAATATATGGTCTGTATAACACATACCTTATACTTTTTAAAAAAATTTTAATTTTTTTTTGGTCGGTCGTGGGGCTTAAACTCTGGGCTTGGGCACTGTCCCTGTGCTCTTCAGCCCAAGGCAAGCACTCTACCTCTTGAGACACAGTGCCATTTCCGGTTTTCTAGTGGTTTATTGGAGATAAGAGTCTCATGAACTTTCCTGCCCAGGCTGGCTTTGAACCAATATCCTCAGATCTCATCCTCCTGAGTAGCTAGGATTACAGGCATGAGCCACCAGAGCCCTGCACCTTATACTTTTATGTACCAAATATAGAAGATAAAAATGTTTTATATGTTATAAAAGCACAAAAATATTAAAGAAATTTTCTGTTTCTGGAAAAGGCAGTAAGTATCCCCAAGTGTTATAGATTTAACCATTCCTAAAAAGGTATGGCCCCAAAAATCTCAATGCTTTTTAAGAATAGAAAAATTATGTCACTAGCTCCTGAAATTCAGTGTGTGTTAATTCTTTTTGTACTTAAAATGCTGATTTCTCTAGCTCCACCCCTTCTAAATTCTGATTCATGTGGAGTAGAAATCAAGAATGCTTTCTAACAACTTCTACAAGAAAGTTTGATACAACTAATTTAAAGATTGTGTTAAGGAAGAAAGGCTATGTTTAAGGCTAAATTTTATGGGCTGAATTGTGTCTCCTTTAAACCTAGATATACTTCAGTACTTTACAGTACTTCAGATTGTATTGATTGAGATTGTGTTTGGAGACAGGGACTTACAGAGGTGACTAAGTTAAAATGGGTGGGTCCTAATTCAGTTTGAGGTTTTTTTTTTTGGTTGGTCATGGGGCTTAAACTTTGGCCTTGGGTGCTGTCCTTCAGCTCCTCAGATCAAGGCAAGCACTCTACCGCTTGAGCCACAGTGCCACTTCCTGTTTTCTTGTGGTTTTATTGGAGATAAGAGTCTCACAGACTTTCCTACCCAGGCTGGCTTTGAACCATGATTCTCAGATCTCGGCCTCCTGAGTAGCTAGGATTACAAGCCTGAGTCACTGGCGCCCGGCTTCAGTTTGAGATCTTGAGTCTAGATTTCTAGCTTTTGGGTTGGTGAGTATACACATTTCTGTGTGTGTTTTTTTTTAATTTTTGTTAAATTTTATTTTATTGTAAAGATTTCTGATTTGAAGCCACCCAGCTTGTGGTATTTTGTTATGGCAGCTTTAGCCAATCAATGCAATAAATAGCATTTTGAAATAGAAATAATAGCTGATGTGATCATTTGACATCGCTTCTAAATGCTTTTTAAAATTTATTATAGGCAAGGAAATTAGCTATATAAAGTAATTTGAGGAATTCTTTTGGGAGCCTTTTTCTAGGCTGATTAATAAAATATACTAAGAAGGTGATAAATATTTTTAGTCTAGTCTACACATGTTCTCCACCTAAAATACACATTTTGTTAATTTACTTCTCTCTCTCTCATATACACATATAGTTTCTATTTCAATAAATAAAATCTAACCACCTATTCATTCATGGTTCTAACTATCATCTATCTATCTATTATCTATCTATCTATCTATCTATCTAATATTTTTGTGTGCCAGTACTGGGGGCTGCCTTAGGACCTTGTGCATTCACTTGGCTTTTCTGCTTTGGTGCTCTACCATTTGAACCCTATCCCCACTTCTTATCCATGCATTTAATCAGTATTTATAAAACATTTACCATGTGCTAAATTAAAAACCCATGTTTTCTTCTGGACAAAAATGCCCCAAAAGTTTTAAATAAAAACTTTGAGAAAGGAATAATTTCAAATGTCCTCAGATTGCCTTCAGGAAATAAAATAAATAAAATGACATTCCAGTGAACTGAGATGTCACAACTTAGCTCTAACCAAACAGTTTTTCCAAATATCTAGCAGTTTAAGAAAATTTTCATGAGAGCTTATCATTTTTAATACTAGTGAAATAATTCAGATTATTTCAGAAACATTATATAAACAGAACATATTATTATTTAGACACCTAAACATCCAAAGAGACAATCAAGTCACAACCTCTGCTTAGGAGGATGAAGTATTTGAGAAGTATTCAATGTTTGGTATGTACATTGTGTTGTTTCTCAAAGAAGTCACAAATTGAACAATTGTCTTTCTAAAATATTCTTCTTATAAATAAATCTGAGAATTGGCAAGCCATGGCCAGCACATCATACATGAAATGAGGCAGAATTTTCATCCAAGAAAGTCTTGGGAAGCTCTGTGGTCATTATCATCTTAACCTTGCCTCAAGGCTGCTCAAGACTACTAGGTCAGAGACCACTTGTGCCCAGCATCTTTATAAGCTCCCCAGTTGCTACCTGGCATTGTCCCCTTTGCTACCATTATGACGAATGTTTGCTGTACTGAATTTTAATTTGAACCCACATTTTTTAATCCTGATTTAAATTTCTAGAATAGGCTGTTGCTAGAATACTACTCATTTAATTATTTTTTAAATTTAATGTCAAATTTACATATCAACAAAGTAACTTGGTATTTTAGGCAATTCATCAGTAAAAAAAATCAACAAAAAATATATTTTGGAAATGCGCAGACCATATAAACTAGTGCTGTATCCATTATCTTGTCTTAAGTTTTATTCGTGACCAAAAACACAGGTGAAATGTAATTCTTAAGAAAAAAGAACAAAAATAAAAAATAAAGTACACACATTGACTTTTCTTTGTGGTTTTGTTTAACAGCTCATATTATACTAGATGACATAATTTAATAACAGTAAAATCTGATTTATGGGACTCATCTTTCTTGCCTAACAGTCTTTAGAAATACTAGTACTTATTTATAACTAACTGAACAATGTCTAAAAAGCACTACTGACAAATAAATAAAAACTTAAAAATTCCTCCCTGAAACAATTTTTCCTCCTTGAAACAATTTTTAAAAAGTTCTATTTAAATTAAACGTTGTTTTAAAAATGTAGGGCGTACTAGGAAGGTCACACCATTGTACAAATAAGCACAGAATAATGACCATTTTCCAAAGACCACCTTCAATGTTCATCCTTCCCACTTCCTCATGCTCATGAAATTTATAGTGACAAGTACCTGTAGAAAGTACTTCCTTAAGGAAAATGACAATATCTCTGAATTCTAACACATTGTAGATGTCAGAGCTACTCTTCTATGCAACATAGTCAATACTAAATATTTCCCAGTGCTTTCAGCATGCTTCTGGATTTGAAATGTCTACCTGAATAACAATGGAGGCTATTCTATAACTAGTAACACCCCTAGTAAGCCCTTTTCAGCAATCCTTTTTCCAAAAAGTTAACCCCTGGGGTTAAACTCCTGACTTCTGATGTCTTAAGGTCTTTACCTTTTCTCCAATAGCCTTCTGAAAACTAACTCACACACACACACACACACACACACACACACACACACACACACACACACAAATTGCTCTGAGACACTGAACACACATCTAGTTGGCTAGTCACTTTTCCCCATGTATTCAACACATCTGGAAGTTCTACATTATAAATGTCATGATATTAGGTACACAAGTGCCCACAGAACTGTTGTCAAATACCAAGACAGTAACAATGTTATGACTGAAAACCCAGATGTCTAAACTTCTTTAAAATGTTCTAATTATGCAGTTGAATTTAGTTCCTCTTTGATTCCATATTGGAAAAAAAAATAGATGTGTGTTGTTAACAAGTGGTTTTCCTTTGGACTTAAGTCTTTGCAGTTCTCAGAAATTGAAAGTTTCATCTGAAGTAAGTCAAATGATGTAACTGAGAATTCAGAAGCTTTTCTTTGAAAAAAAAATGAAATTAATAGATGGTTACTTGAGTCCCATGAGATTTCCCAATCTGCCATGACTACCTTTCAAATAGGAGATTCTTGCACGTCTTCAAAAAACTACAGTGAAAGAAATGATCTTTTCAGGTAAACACATGAAGAAATGATTGGGATAATACATTTCTAAATTTAACTGTCAGAATTTTTGGCTTAGATTTGAGTTTCTAGGTGAAAGGAAAGCTCTCTACTTCCAACAAATAGGAGTAATGTTGAATGGACTAATGAAGCAACAAAAAAGCCAATACCATTAAAGAGTTTGGAGTGCATTTTCAGCTAGTGCTGAGGAGTCAGTGAGATTGCATACTTACCTACCCCTGAACTTGGTAAGAACTTAAACGTGAATAATGACCTAGTCGAATGCTCTCATGTTACAGATAGGAAATTGAGGCAAGAAAGACAAACTTTGATCATGCATACACGAAAGGATTTACCACAAGCAGAAAGAAAAATAATTCACTGGAGGTTCAGAGAAATCAAAGACCATTCTTTGACACTATGCTATTTTAGTTACTAAACAAATTTTGTACCCTCAATTTAAAGGACTTTCATCCATCCCCCGCCCCACTCCATGAATAGCTCTGTTTATACCTGAAGATTTTATGCTGTGGTTCCAAAAAATAAAAGTAAGATTAGGAAAGGCATACCTGTAATCAATACCCTTCCATTACTTATTCTAAAAATATTTGCTTAAACTTATTCCAGGGTTTGACAATTTAATGTGATAGATGCTCATAGCATATCTTTTTCTTTCTTTCTTTCTTTTTTTAAAACAAATTCCCTCTGTCTCTGTCTCTCCTCTCCTCTCACATACCACTATCCCCTTTCGGGAGCCTGTCAGTTAGCTGCTGTTTCCAGTACTTAGGGAGCAGCTAACAATCAAACTGCTTCTGGCCAGATGTCCAGATGTGAGGAGATCAGAAGTAGTTAATATTTATCTGTACAACACATCTTTTCATCTTTTGCATGCCTGGCACTCAAATGGAACCCCAGGTTGAAAAGGCCCGGCCCAGTTCCGAGTGGTTTGGGCTATCCAACTGTACCTGTCCACCCTTACCTGTTTGTAAGACCACAGTGCTCTCTTCTCCATCCAGAGAAACAATCTTGAAGTTGTAGAACGTTCCCGCGTGTAAATCCCTGAGGTTACATCCATAGGTGGTGTTGTCGATCTGAAACGGGTAGCACCAAGCCGCCCTGGAGGTATCACTGCTGTAGAGGACGCTGAAGTTACAGGATGACCCTAAAGTAGTTTTCCACTGGAGAGACACCGCCTGGCTGGAGATCTTGGATTCCATCACGGTGAAGTTACATCTCACTGACTCTGCCAGTCCAGTCTACAAAGAGATCAGAAGGACCACCACTTTAACAGGCTCCCTAAATGCCTCTATCCACCCCTTCTGCCTAGCCTCAGATGGCCCCTTGTCTTTCTAAGCAGGGGCGAGAAGCCCACAAGGGAGGTGGATGGCAGCTTTCTCCCTGGTTGCTGTTTCTCTGGAGCAGCTGGAGCCAGAAGATGGCTTTTGCCTTTGACATCAGGACAAGCTGGCCAGTGTGCGTTCAAGAGGCGGACAGCTCATCTCAAGAGATTTCCCCTACAAAGCACAGAGAGGTTGCCGAGTGGAGTGAATTTGGTTTGGGCCCCCGAGAGGGCTGCGTCCGCTTGAGCCACTCACCTGTAGTAGGTGTAGTGTAATCCACAAGGCCAGTCCTGCTCCATGGTTCAGCATTGCGGTCAGGGGTTAGAACCCGGGTGAATCCAAGGCGGGGAGATGGGGGTGGGGAGGTTGGAGGGATGGCTGGACGCTGGATGAAGGACCCACTTGTTGCTGCGCGCGCGCTCAGCGCGCCCTGTGGGCGCAGCGCACTTCCCTGGGGGCTGGCGACGCGCGGGGGCCACAGCCGCTGCTGCTCCTGCTGCCGCCCCGGGCGGGCTGCGGACGCGACAGGAGGAGGCGGCGGGGACAGGCGGCCAGCAGCCCTTCCCACGCTGCCATTCTGACCCGCGCTGCCTCTCCCCAAGCCCCATCCGCGGACTTCCGCAATCAAAAGGCAATTTCCTCGTCTCCCGGCAAAGGAACAATGCGCCTGGGAGGGAGGGAGCCCCCCAGGAGCCAACGCCTGAAGCTGCCAAAGGGGACCGAGCCAGCCAAGTTGTCCCCAATGCCCTGGGCCACCGCCTCCCCGGCCAAGGGTCCCATCCGGGTCCGCGGGGCGCTCTGCCTTCTCCTCCTCCCGGACTTTCACTTTCCCCTACTCCGTGGTCCTTTCGCTACCATGAGTGCCGCTGGTTCTCACTTTTCAGACCCCCCCCTTACACCTCCTCCCATCCACCATCCCCTCCCTCCTTCCCCACCCTAAGTCCTCCTTCCTCCTATCTTCCTTCCTATCCTTCTCATCTGCTTTCTTCTGGATCTTTTTTCCCAGGATTACACTTGACCTTAACACAATTTCCCTAGGTTGCCCACATTCTTTCCTGAAGCCTTTTATTAGAGAGCGTTTGCCCTTCTCACCCCAAAGCATTCATTTGTCACAAGGCTCACCGCCTTGACCCCAGCAGGGGAAGAAGACCCCCCGCCCCCCGCCTTGCAAAGAGCCAGCCCAGGGTCAAGTTGACCTTCATCCTTTCTGTAGTCATTTCCCCCTTTAATCTTGTAAAGGTCTGTGTATACATATTTGGTATGCAAATAGAGCTAAGCAACAACAACAGAAAGGTCTCCACCAATGGTGCAACCTATAGCAAAGCAGTTCCCTCACTGACCATCCAGTGGTGACAGCCCTGTCATTCCTAAATCTTCTGACCAAGGCGTTTGCATTTTTGCTGGGAAATACTTTTGATGGCTTAGCGGCACACAGATTTACAAAGAAATGGCACTGACAGTTTTCAGCGCTAATTATATGCCTGTTAGTAATTGCCTCAGTACCTAAGTGACTATGTACGTCTAAAAATAGACTCCAAAAAAGTGCTATCTCCCGCTGTATAATTTTACAAAGGCAACGAAAGCAAAATACTGCCACAACTTCAATAAATTTGGGTTTTGAGATACCATACTAAACCAAAGAGAGTCCACATTTCAGTTCCCAGATCAGAAAGAGAGATGGTGTTTCCTTCTTTTTCCAATACACAGATTGTATTACATGTGAGGGTATGTTCTTGGCTACTGTAACGACTGTGTACTTTGAAGAAAAGTAGAAAGATGAAAAGAAGTAAAAATTGTCTCAATTTTTTTTAGAAACTTGTTTTCCAAAAATCTCCTAATGAAAAATGAAATTCCTTTAAGTTTTGCCACTGAACTACATTCCCAGTGAAAAATGAAGATTTTTCTCCACCTCAGAGATTTGATAAACCTTAAGCTAAAGCCAAAGCAAAGATCCCAAGTCCTCTTTCAAGTTAGCAAACACCCAAAGAACATCAAGCCTAAAATATATGTATTATTTCTAGGAAAACAGAACTTCTCTTATTTCTCTATTCAAACCATTTGTCTTATTAAACAACTTTTGATTCTGTCTTTTGCTCCCAAGTTCAATGTTTTGCAGAGCTTGATTTTCCAGGCTTACCAGTGACACTTTCTTTTCTTCTTCATCAGATATTTTAGACCTTTTTCAAACCTCCAGCTGTTTTCAGCCTTTAGAGGAGTCCCTTTTTTCAATTATATTTCTTTTCAACATTACCTTTGTATTTTTTTTTTTGTTTTTGTCTTACAATGAGAGTACCTCAACTGCAAATCAAGAATAATATTCTAAGTACTATATAGAGCTAGGAAGAATAACAGTTTCAGCTAAAGCAAGCTCCAATGTGTTGAACAAGTATCAATATATCTAGCAATAGATGACACTCAAATCACACATTTTCTGTCTTTTAAACTCACTCATGACATAGGTCCCACTTGCTAACTTTTACTGCTCATCTTTCTCATTTGTCTTTTCCACAGGGACTTCATACTTATCACAGATCAGTTCTATGGTTTATAAGCCTAATATATATATACAAACATACATATAAATGTACACATATATACATGTATACACACATATATATGTATGTATCTGTGTGTGCATGTCTATAAACACATGCATATAGATATACATATATCTATGTGTTTATATCTATATGCATGTGTTTATGTATAGATATGCAGACATATTAGCTAGAGTTAAATTTTAGAGCTAAATTTCCAATACACTATCTAACAATTCTTTCTGATAGCTCAGGTAAGTGTATGAAAAGACAAAATTTGAAGAAAACTAAAGAAAATAACAAAATATCCTCATAATTACAAAGTTTAAGTGCTTCTAAATTAACAGTGCTAATTAACTTGCTAATAATGACCTTGAGGAAAATAAGAAATATTTTCTTTAAATATAGTTAGTTTATTTTTGACCGAAAAATAAGAGACATCTAAAATCATTTTTAAACAACTTTAACATACTCAATATATATTTAGAAAGGGCTAATAGTTATAAACACTTCCTTTCCGTCTGTGGATAACTACTAGGTTTAAATTTAATTTTATCATTATTAAATATTGGAGCTTCCAAATGATTAACAGATTGTAAACAATTTATAGAATTGCATAGATTGAGACAAGAGGGCAAATTCAAGTTCAGCCTTTTAGTGATTACATTTTTCCTTTTGAAATCACATTTGAAGTATGCAAAAGCAGAGAGAATAATAATAGATTCACAAAAGTAGGGAACTGGGAAAAGTTACCAGATAACAACTTTTCTATGAAGAGTTTATTTGAAACTACAAAGTCTAAAGAAACTAATTTATTTTGCTCTTTGTTCTCATCCTTGTTTAGAATTCCTCAAAACTCTTTTCAGCCTATTTATCCTGCATGCCACTACATTTTCTTTAGATATTTTTGCATTCTAGGAATTTAGGATCAATTACTGGGTACCATTTCAGGGCATAACTTTTTCTCCTTGTTTTTAGGAACCTTTTTCCAGACTATATGGGAAAGGTGAGGCTGCTTTTGATTAGCTGTACAGTGAACGTTTTCCATTCATATCAGTGATAAGCTATCTTAAATAAAAATAGTGATAGCTATTAGTAGCCATGTGAACACAATCATTAATTATGTGTTCATGGTTGAAGGCCTGGATCTTGTTAGATTCCCAAAATACATGCTGACTGCTAGCTCCCATCATCAAAGGCCTACAGCCACTACTTGAGAGCTGCTACTTTATTTTTGATGTATTTTTATATTTGCTGGTTTATTATAAAAATGTTTTCAAGGTCCATGTTAAACAACCAGAAATGGTAATGGGAATCTGCTTTGTTCTTATAACTCAATAGTGTTTCCATGGCTTGGCCCGCTGAGGACCCTTCCACCAGGGATCTTCTCAAAATTCTCCAGCCCAGACTCTAAATATGAAAGCCTACTCCCTAACCCTCTCAGGCGATAGACAAGAGATGGGACTTGCTCAAACAATAGGCTCTGGGAGCCAGACTTGTGCCATAAACTCTCAAAAATCTTTGAGTCCTCCAACTACTTTGGAGCCTGCCCCCCCTATTTATTACCCTTACTTAAGTTCCTCTACCCTGCCTCCATTATACCATACCTTGTCTCCTGACTCCTTAAATCACCAAGGCATCCCTTTTCAACTTTCCATTAAAGCTGATCTGTGGTCTGTTGAGGTTGTTTTTTTTCTTCTCCTCTTTCTTTATTCTAATGCCCTCATGACTCAGTTTCCTAACATATGGCAAAATCTGAAAAGGTCTTGAGCATAGGATCTTCTATCCCATGGAGTTTGGGCGGTTCACCTTCCTGGCACATTCTTAGAATGTGCTCACCTTCTTGGAAACTCCTAGAACGTCTCTGAATTTGTATGAAGGCAAAACAAAGTAGGGAATGATTGACTCATTGGCTATTGGTAATCCTCTCAGCCTTCAGCACCCTTCTATTTCCCCTCCAACCCTCCCAATACTAATTGGTTGCCTTGGCAACCCAACTTTGACTCCATCCTGTGGTTATCTATGGAATCACAAAAAAATCACCTCATTATTTATTAAAAGCTTAGGTATGGTTGGAGAACACTATCTTTCATTTTAACCACTCTGGAACTAGTCTGGAGCATTATTTCAAATAACAAGAACAAAAGGTCAAAGATTTTAACAAAAGATAATGTTATTGCTTAGTCACTTAGGTAATTATAAAAATTTTGAAGCTATGAGTCAGGAATTGTAGATGAATCCCCAAATACTGGTAGATGATCCTCAGTCTACTCTGGGGTTATATGACAATGAATCCATCATAAATTAAATATATTGTAAACTGAAAATATGTTTGATGCACTTACCCCACTGAACATTGTAGCTTAGGAACACAGTGTA